AATTGCATTTCCTTAAACCCCGTTAAAAGAATCTAGGTGTCTGACAGCTTTCCATACTATCTCTTCTCTTTCCTGTAGAACAATATCAGGTTTGCCCATAGCTTGGGAGGAGCCATTCTGGGACAAGTCCTTAGCTATTTGACTTCAGGGGAGCTGTGTTGATTTCCATCCCCTGAGGATCATCCCCTTTTGTGTCTCAGGATTCATATGGCATTAATAGATGTACCAGTGACAACATGTCTATCACAACTAGCAGCCCAAACCAGATACACAGTAATAAGCGGATGAAGTAAGATAGTCTGGGAGTTATTATTTTGTTAATCTCTGTCTTGATTTATAAGTGTCCTCAAGACAGCACTGCATGTACTGTGGAATGTGTTTATAAAAAGCAAGCTGAATACCCATTTAAATTAGGTCATAGCATATCTTCTTATATTAAACAAAGTACGACATATGTTTCTCTCTCACAGCCTACTCTATTTTAGCTGGTGCTAAAAGATGGTAAGACCTCAACAGTCTTCAGCCTATACTTAGGCCATAGATTTTGTATGATGACACAGCAGAGCACTGTTAAAATCTTAGTGCACATATATAAGCAGACTGTAGTAAAACCTGATAAGGGAGAGTTTTGAAATCTTTGTAAAGTAAATTGCCAAGTTACTTTTAAGTACTTTTATCTATTTGTATCTAAATCTATTCAGTGATAGGTGTCCCCAAATGATTTGTTCCAGTCTAAAGCAAGTAAGAATTGAAAATGTGCAAAAACAAACACACGAACAAAAACAACCCAGAAGAAACACTAGCATCTCTATATTCTTACACCTTTGATTTCTCAGCTGCTGGAGAAGGATACTCACAAGGAGGCCAACGTAAAATAGGTCAACAAATAAAAGAGCACTTTAATGAGAAATATCAAAGTTGTCAGTTTAAATAGTTTGAAATTGGTCATTTTTACAAAAAATGGGCCAGAGTTTTACATTTTGTCTCAAAATTAGCATAGCTAACAAGTTAAAATAGCCACCAGGATTTTCTGGTTACTGAAAAGCTGATTTTTAGCAAAGGAAACAAATCAGATTTTTTGACAGCCATTTTGATAAATTATATTGAAAATACTAGAATATTTTTCAAAAATAATATTTTTAAAGGGAAGGCTATTGTGTAGAAAAACTGTGCTTTCCCCCTCAAGCACCCTACCAATTCTAATTCAAAATCTTGCATAATAGTATATATAATCTGCCCAGTATATTGGATGCAGCTATTAAATATTTGGATGAGATGCAAAAGAAAGCATTGGTACTGTAGTAGAGTGACAAAAATGGAATGCTACCATCTTTTAAGTAAGTAGGAATATCTTCTGTAATATAAACCGGATTCTGTATAATAATTAAGGTAACAACTTTAGTATCAAATGATGAGTTATGCTGTAAAGGAATTAAAGAGATGGATTTCTTGTTCAGTGAGTATCTTGTTTAGTTTTATTGACCTAAGAATTAAATATTATCCTTCACAAGGGAGAGGTTAATTTTCACATCTTGAGCATTGTATAGTTCAGTGAACAACAGAATCAAAGTAAGTGTTATTCAAATTTGTTGTAACCATTCTTAAAGGTTGGTGGGAATTCTGTATCCCTGAATGAGCTCATGGTAGGATTTTAGTTTTGGCTTCCATTAGTTGTTTTAATGGGGTAATGATCTTAGAGGTCCCTAAATTCAGTTATTAGAGTTAGATTATGATCTGACTTTAGCTCAGATTCTTCCACACGTATTCACAGCCTTGTCCCAGGGTCCTTTACTCCAGTGGTGCTCCACCTCCATCCCAGAAGCCAGATCTGGCCCATGGAGCTATGTTAGCTGGCCCATGGGCTCCCCATGGGTCTGGAATCTGGTGGCGGAGGAGTCGTAATTAATGCTGCCACCGCTCCCCAGCTGTCAAACTGCCAACCCCTGCAGGCCAGATGACATAGCCCAGGACCAGGGCTGCAGGTACAATTAGGTATGTGGGGCTGGCATCCAATCTGACATGCAGGCCCAGTCCCCAGGAGCATTATGGCACACAGGATGGGGCCTGATCTGGGATGCAGGGACCGGCCCCACTTGCTGGATTGTCTCTAGTTCCACATGCCAGATCGAGATCATGGACCAGATCAGACTCATCTGGCCCATGGGGTCAAAAGCTTGGGCACCACTGCTTTGCTTCATAGGTAATTCTGAGGTCTTCAATAGGATTACTTGCTGGGGAAGGTGCTACTCAATACGAGTCGGTGTTGGGAGATGAAAGCACAAACAAATATTGATTTTTCCACTGAAATCAGCCTCAACCAAACATTATAGAGTGAATTGCCTACATGATTTGTATTGGTTAGCATTGTTCCCAACAGTAGTATTATCGCTCTCTGAGGAGCAATGGGAATTTAGTGACACATCTTCAACTGAGCTCAATAAATACTGACACACACAAGTAAGTGCAAGATTTTAAAATTGTCTAAGAGCTGAGAATATTGAAAGCAATGGGAGTTCTTGATTGTGAACAGTGTTAAAAGCTTGGCTTCATGGTTCAAAGAGCTTAAAAGGAATCTGTCCAATTTTGATAAGTTGGCCTTTAGTGACTCATGTATATTCTTCTAGTAGGGAGTAAGAATTAGGCCAGTTAGAACTATTTTAGATTTTCACTATAAATGCATTAGTTATTGTCTGTGTATTGTACAAGATACTGTTTCTTTGTTCAGGAACTTCAGAAAATGGGTGAGATTACCACATGAAATGCAAGCCCTGTTACAACTGGACATGTTAATTATTTGGGGTCATATATTCTGTTGCACTTACTAGCCATGAGTATTCCCATAATGTACAAGGGTAAGACCAGTGGGATTTCTCTTTTCTCCGCATATCCTTTCCCT